AGTGAGAGTAAGGTCTCTGTTCTACATATAGTCCATATGTATATCCTCATACCTGACATATGCACAATCAATTTAGCCTCATTGAAACCTATATGATATTAATTTTCATGCTATAATGGTACTGAAGTTTCCATACAATGCAGATTCATATTCTTCAGTTCGAGTTTTTGCTAAGAAAATTCATCAGGCAAAAACTCTAACCTTCTTTCGACAAAAAAATTATACCAGCTTGAAGCCTATGCCAAAGATCATCTGAATGTATATATAAACGTCAAAACCAACTTTTCTGAGCGAAAATCCTTAAACCTTCTTCTAGATATTGTTGCCTGTACAAAAGTTTTTTGGAAAAACAAATTATAATTAATTACAATCGATATTAATCAGGGTTTTCAGAACAAATTTTTCCAACAATGGCGTCACATTTAATTTCAAAAATGCAAAATGAAATATCTATCTAAACATTGCTTATATATTAGTCATGATTCTTTCGTATATTCTTAGTCAAATATTTCAGAGAAATAGTCACGAACAAGACTAAATTATACACTGCTTGTTTTCTGTTCTTCAAGGCTTTGTATTGAAGATGATAACAATATCAATCATTTCTTCGCGACTGTTTTTGTCCTTATGCTAATTTTATTGACTATAGTAATAAATATTCTAGTTCTCTTCAAATGTATTAATTGTTGCCTTTTGAATATTGTTGTCAAATCAAGATTATGATCATGGTTTCTCAAGCCATAATACGATGAATGCTTTCACATTTATGAGGAACAAGTAGCAGTGGCCTGCCACTCTATTATGGATTAAGAATGGTTACGACGATGACAAAGATGACAGAATAAAAATGAAATTTAGCGACAAAAATATTGGCTCTAGATTCTCTTTTTATTGTATTGGTAGTGTTGAATGTATAATTAGTCAGTACGTCATTACTATATACGCAAACTATGGTAATTTGAACCAACAGATATTCTTATATCGTCACTCAGCTCTTTTTGATCTAACGTTTTGTGTCAGTTGTTCTTTGTAATTATCAACCTATGTTTCTGTAATCTTTTGAAATCCTGTCAATGAATAATAATATTCGTCTTTGGCACTTTGTGTTTGTTTTTCTTTGTCAATAACTTTGGAAGTTTCTACTTTCCTTTAGAATTAATCATGGTCTTTGACTAAAAATAATCATGTACATCTATAACAATTTTATTTTTTCATCGATTATGTATTGATAAAGCATTACAACTATACATTGAATGACAATGAATTTTACATGATTCAAAAAAAGAAATTAGTCACGTCGACAGGTCATTTTTCGACCCAATGTTTTAAAGAAATTAACTATAGCTTTACGAAATATACTTCCTCCACTTAATGTATAAATATAGAACGGCATTCCACAAGACATGTAATAAATAAGAATAAGAATGTTAAAGATGAAACTTTCAATAGTTTTTCTCAATGGAGACTTGAGTACAGATTGGGTTATGGTTGTATAGAGTTTATCTATGGCAAGTGGAATAGTAAGTAGAATGATAAGAGAAATTTGAGCCAACAACATGATTAAAAGGCGACGATCTGTTTTCCTCTGTTCACTCGTCACTTGTCCAAAATTGGTTGTTGCTGTGTTGTGCCCCGTGGAACCATCCATCGTTCTAGCTGCCGGTTGCAAACGAGATCGTGATTTAGTAATATTTGCGATGGTCATCAAACCAAAGATAATCATCAATACCAATGGTATTAGAATAGTAAGTAGGGCCAGATATAAATCTGATAGAAAGCTACACCATACTGATTTCGTGTAACATTTCACTGGCGTGTTAGTAAGATTGGCTTCGTAACAATAAAGATGTTGTGCTTCAAGAATAGTTGAAAAGATGACAATCAGAATCGTACCGAGTTGAGCATTCTTTAATGTACTTCTTTTGCGTTGATTGGCGCTGATGTTCGATGAAAGCCATCGATCCACTGTTGCTAACATGATAAGCCAGGAGCCAATAGTGATTGCAGTAAATAAGAGAAACGCACGAAGTTTGCAAAGAAATTGATTTGTATTTGTGAGATCAGCAGACCAAGTTGATAATGGTCGAGAAGTAAGACCAGCAAGAATACCAATACAGTTTGCAATTGATGAAGCAAGAAAGAGCCATGCACAAGGATTTGAACGAAGAGATCGTTGTGACAGAACACATATATTAATAGTATTACCAACAATACCAAAGAGAAAGATGAAAATTCCAAAATACCGATTTATTTGTATTGAAGCATTGTTCAACGAGGCAATTAGACTTGCATCCGATGTTGATGACATTTTTTTAGTAGATGAACAAACTAAATAAATGAAACAGAAAAATACTAAATAAAGGATGTAATGGAATCATCTTTATTTATCAGATATTTTCTCATGCTGACAGTTTTTCTCTAGCTAGCACACTGACTATTCATGCTTTTTTTTTATTCATATCTTATGGTATATTAATTAACTTAATCTACTCAGGAATGATGGAATCTGCTAAAATCGATGTGCATTAGTAGATGAAAGTCTGAACTAAATCAAGAATAAGGAACAGATACATGAACAGTAAATATGAGAAGAGTAAAAATCTCACTCTCATTTTTATAGAAGGAAATGGAGGGAGATAAAATTGAATGTAACATAATCACCAAGAAAACAACTATGTTGATTTACTGTTCACAACAAGTAGTCATTGTTTAAACTAAAATCAACATTGATGAGGTTCTTTATATAATCAAAATGAGTATTCATGTCAGCTACAATTATCTAATCAATAGAAAAATGCGTAGATATCAGCATAGTGCTGCGTTCAAATTATCTCTCATCACCAGTCGGTATCCTAAAGAAACAAAAAAAGTATTATGACAACAAGCTCTTTATGTTCAACAGAATCTAGACGAGAAAGAGGTAATTCATTATTATCTTTTCATCACAAAAGTAACATACTTCTTAATAATATATATTTTTTTGACTTTTCAAAAGTACTTGCTAGAAAATCTTCTAAACTCTATTTTCTAATCGATTAACAGAGTAAACAGTCGTAATCAATTGACTTTGAATTAGAATAATCTTTACATCAATTGTTAACGAATTAAGTAAGAAGTTTGAAGTTGTCACTCTTTTATTCTTCAGAAAAAAATTTTGTTAAATAGTAATATGCTTTGGTGTCTTATACTTCAATGAATGTCTATTAACAGAGTTGTCAATCATAACAGAAGGCAGCAGAATACAAAGTATCAAAAAATTGAACCATGCTCTTTTGTTAAACATAGTTAGAAACGATATATGATAGAAAATACGAGCTCACTATGTTATTCTACAACTTTATGGCTCATGTTTTTATTCATTACTATACTAATGAGAAGAAAAATAACAATAAAGCGAAAAGAAAGATGAATAGTAATATAAACTAAATAAAAAGAATATAACTCGATGAAACAATACGATTTGACTTGATGTTCTATAATTTATATTTTTTTTCCGTGAAATAATGAGACGAATAATTAAAATTCTATTATGATTCAAAGTGAAAATCTCAATTATTCATGACATACTTTGAGTTCAAATATCAACGAAGCGCTCTGTTAGAGCTCGATATCATTTCACAAATCGATCAGGAAAAAATTCTAACTAGAATTCATATTGAAAAAGCCAAAGGTAAATTTGTATCAAAATCAAAATTATAATTGAAATAAGGGCATTGATGTAGAAACAACCAAAAAATCATGGCATAGTTTTTTTTAATCTTAATTATAACTATAATTGAAATAAGAACATTCATGGTGAAAACGACCGAAAAAGGTCAAACATAAGCTTTTACGTCAACAATCGTTATAATTGAAATGTTCATCTAACCATGAAACACGTTTTCAACATCTCTAAATGCAACTCAAATGTTAATAGATTTCAAACGTGTTGAACTGCGTTAATTGTAGTTAATTCAAAACGTATTTCATATCTGCGTATATTCGAACGAATTTCTTGAATAAAACACATTTAGATGAGTTTGTTGTCATTATCAAGCACGTTCGAATGGGAATGCTTTTTTTAAATACCTGGTTGCGTTTATAACTGCTGAAAACCTTCAACTGAAAGTTATGGAACGCTCTCCATCGAATACATACGCTTCACATGTTCTTATCATATACATTATTTAATGTTTTTGATAATTGAGCTATGTGTCTGAATACAGTTCGTCATTTTTCGTTATATCACTAAGATGCATTTAAACATGTTAAAGAGATTTCAATGACGAAATCAACTATGTATACATATCATTAAAAGATAGTATTAAAATGTTCTTATAATTTATTTAAAAGGCATAGTCTTTCAGCCTTATTGTATTCGGTATGTTAATGGCTTCTTTTAATAATGAATAATTTTTGAAATGTAGTTTACTAGTTGTTGTGTGAAATACACAAAAATAAACGGTTAAATATCAGAAAATTTTTGAAGGATATCAAAACTAAATAGAAAATATAAAAATTAAGAGAATTATTTAACTTTAATTTTGAATTTAAATTGAAAATAACAAATTTCACTTTAAATTTAAAATCAAATCTAAAGTTCTATATTATTAGTATACAGCCATTACTAAGCAATAAATTATTCAAATAAAACAATAATTTTCATCTGATGTCATTGTAAACTTGAAATATCTATTTTACAAAATTTAATCATATATGAAAATTGTCATGTAATTATGCTAGATCCTTTCGAATCCAAAATGTCTTTCTGAAGACTTTGGCCGTTTTTAAATAGATGTCATCATCTGTATTATATAATTAACAGTATAGAAAGGTTGTAGTTTCGTCTATGTAGTTGTCGATAATATTTTGAATATTCTTATATTTTTCACATTTATCTAACATTCTTCAGCAACGTATTTTATTTCAAATTAAAAAAAAAAGAAAAGAAAGTTCATTAAATATCAAGTGATACAGAAGATTTCGTTGAAATGACGATTTTGATCAACACAAGAAATATTTTACTTTCCACTCGATGATGGATATGTTGGACACATACATACACATTGATTAGTAAAACTACTCACTAAATCACATGAAACGCATATATGGGCAGATCTAGTAGGATCTCTTCCGGTATCAATCGATGAACACCCAGCATTGATCATCGGTCCTTCAAGGACTGTTTCTAATTATAAGAAAAACAAGTATTTTTTCTAATAATAAACAAAATAAATTGTTTTTAACTTACGTGCATCTATACGTGCTCGAGCTCGAATAAATCCTGTTGTATCATCTCGTACATACCAAAGTTGTTGATTATCAAAAAAGTCAGAATTAATTCTTATCTGTGTATTAGTTGGACATCCTTCTGAACAATCTTTTACCGAACCAAATGTTGCCGGTATTATTTCACATTTACCATTATTTAAAAGACCAATTGAACCTTCTCTAATCATAAAACTTCCATTAATACGTTGTTCATTTAATTGATTTTCTTCATCTATTCGAATTTTATCTGCTGCTGCAGTACGAGATTGAATAATTCTTCTTAAATTTGTACGTACATTTGAATCAATTTCAATAACATCTGACCAAGGTACATATTCTTCAATTTTCAATAAAGCAGGATTAGCAACTAATGTTTGTTGCCAACGTGTTTCATTCTTTTCAGTTGGATCACCACCAAGCCATTGATCAACAAAAATTTTTCGACGATCAGCATAAAAATTATTTCCAAGTGTTTCATTAAGAATATCTTTTTTAAGATAATCATTTAAATTATTTGATGTTATTGCACCATTAAATGAAAATATACAATCTTTAAAAAGAACTTGTTGTTCATGCATTCCACCTATATCAATTTAAATAAGTTTAGTATAAAAAAAAATCTAAGCATTTTTTTCAAATTTTAAAACTTACCAATAAGAGATTGTTGTACAATATGTGTACCCCAATTTTGTAAAAAATCATTATATAAAGTTTCATCATATACAATTGGTAGATTTTCTATTGCTTCTCTAGCATATTTATTTAATTGAAGATTTTCAATACGTAATCGATATAAAACGTTTGGCTTTTGTGTTATAGCTATTGCTTGATTTTTTGAAAAGAATTTACTAAATATATCAAGTAATGATTTTGAATGACCAAATTCTCCACCTAACCAACTTCCTCTTAATTTTTCATATTTCCATTCATTTGATAATTCAGCCGCCGTAAGAAAAACACGAGAAATAGGATTATTATCATTTGAATTAATTGCAGAAAAAGTTACTCCACGAGGTGCTTGATATATTATCTTTGTAATTGGATCAGTCCAATAGTTATTTCCACGATAGATATACTCCAAAGCAGGAAGAAGTAATCTACCTGTTGTTATGTCGAGTGTCATACCAACACCAATTGGTAACTTATAAAACAAAAAAAAAAAAGATAAATTTTAATATTTATTATGTTCTAAGTTTAAAAAAAAAATCTTTACTCTAGAAGCATTTTCTGCAATTAAAGCTCGTCCTATTGTTTTTGATCCAATACATTCTATTCCTTTATATCCAATATAAGGACATAAACCTTTCTTTGCTTCTGCAATATTTACTGTTGATTCAGCTCGTCGTATACGAATTTTATTTCGAGTACAATTTTTTTTTGGAAGATCTCGTAATTTTTTTAATTGTTCAATATAATTATGATTGTCTGTTTCAGCTATTTTTAAAATATAATCAATAGCTACTTTAAGTGCATTACGTCGATCACTTTCTAGTAGAATTTCATCTAATGATATAAGACGATATGAAATAGGACGAGGTTGTATTTTTATTGTTGAAATCCATTTTTCCCATTCAGATGGATTCATAGAATCAGTACCACCTAATAATTGAGATGAAAATATTGAATATTGTTTAAAATGTTCATCAATTTGTTTTCTATAATCTTCTTTTTGTTTGATAGATGTTGTAAATAAAAATCAATTTTTATTTACTTGTTCATCAATCCATGTTTGTGGATATTCATAAGTTAAACATGTTTCATACCATGTTTCAGCCCAAACTTGACCACCCATATTAGATGATACAACAATATGTGTACCAAATATATTAAAAAAATTTTTCCAAATTTTTAAATCTTTTATATCAAAATATGTTGGTAAATTATTAAATGCTATTTGAGCTGTAGGATTTAATTTTGGATATGGAAATGCTGTTACTGATAATGTATACCAACCAATTTGTTTCATTCGAAGTACTAAATTATAATTATCTTGATAAAAACGACGATAAAATTCAGTTACTAGTTTTTGACTATGTCGACGATCGATGCCTAACCAATTACCTGATTTTCTAACATTAACTGTTCTTATCGAACGAAAATAATCTTCTATAGATGTTATTAATATTGAACCATCAAATGTTAATGATTCAGGAGTATTAACAACAAACCATCCATTTGGTATGGAATAAGTTAAAGTTTTATTATATGGATCTGACCATTGTTCATTATCAGTAAAATTATTTTGATCAAATAAACAATATTTACTTTCCATTAAAAGAGGATCATATCCACAACCAACAATATCAAGTCCCATTATAGAATTTTGAGGTTTTGATAATATTAAAGAACTACGACTTGTAATTTGACCATTCAATTCAGCTAATGTTGGCATTACTCCTTTTTGTAAATAAAATTCAATTGTTTTACGAAAATGTTCTCGAATTGGTGGTTTATTTTTAATTAAATTATGAATAGAAAATAATGTTCGATTAACAACAACTGGATAATTACCAGCTGTTTGTTGCCATGTTCTATGAAGAAAATATTTATTAATAGATAATAATAATAATAATTCTATTTAAAACTTACTCCCAATCTGATTTATTATTTTGACTTGCTACTGGAGGTTGAAAAATAGAAAATGTAGCTGAAGTTTTCTTAAATGTTTCTTTCATTGAAGCCCAAATTTGATTTGTATCAGATCCATATTGACCATAAGATCCTTTATATTGAAACATTAAACTAACTTGACTTGATGTTTCTTCATATGAAGACACTTTATGATAACTAGAATCTAGTAATGTATATAAATGAGCTGTACCACCAACAATAATACGAGAAATATAATGTGTTCCATATGTTTCAATAAATTGATTATAATATGCTTGATGATCTTCATTAGATGCAAAAACAGTTTTTTTTTTAAATCATGATTGGAACTTGAATCAAATTTTTGTCAACTGATTTCGGTACTAGGACACGGACCAACACTTTTTAGTTAAAAGTGATACGTTTTATGGTCGTGTAAGAATTGCATTAAATGTTATATTCTTACGACTTATGTGTTTTAAAAGTTTATTAGGTAAAGTTCGTTTTAATATGTGTACCAAAAATGACTGGTTCCGTTTATCATTAGAAGTGAGTTCAAAACAAAAAAAAACCCACTTAATAAAATAGTTTACCTGCGAAAAAATGATTCAAATGTATAAGAAACTGTTTCACAAGTATCTTGTTTTCGAACATTGATTTCAGTTATTTGAACAAGTTTAGGTCGTGTAAAAATTCGATCTTGTCCAAGTACTTTAGTTCTAAATGTAGTTGTACTTTCTTCACTTAAATCAAATATACGATATTTTGAATTTTGTTCACTTGCAGAAAGCATTTTAGCTGCATCATAACCAGATGATATATCATTAATACCAGGTAATTCATCAATACAATAACTATTTGTAATAAGAAACAAGAGAATATTGAAAATAAACATCTAAAAAAGAATCAATAAAAATTTTATTTTAAAAAATTTTACTATGACTATTTAATGATATTTAAATAGTATAGATATATATTTTAATCTTGAATGTCAACTTTAAAAATTTAATATATAGTTAATATTAATCAAAAAACATAACATTGATTAACAGATAAAGCTGTATTACATGTACGTGTATACCAAGTAAATGTAGCTCGAATTCGACAAAAATTACGTTTTCCCACAACAGATAATTCAAAATTTTGTAATACTACACAATTTGTTCTTTTTTTTATATTTGTTTGCATACCGCTTATCATTGTTTCGTTAATATATTGACCCACAAAGGTATATCTATCATCAGTAGTTTCATATGTCCATTGTACATCATAGCCTGTTTGACTAATATCCATAAAAAAGTTGCCCCAACCCAATTGATATCGACCAGTCAAGTCGAATTGTGGAGTCCAATCAGTTGGTTGTAATTGACATTGATTCGTTTTATTATAATAATAATAATTCATGGGACACCTTTGTTCATAAGCACACCCCCTTGAACAACGATAGTAAGCTGCTTTGTTCCATTCATGTGGATATGTTCCATTTTTTGTTGGACACTCAAAACTCATGCTGGAAGCAATAGAACAAATTAAAAATAATATTGATAGCTGTATCTTCATTATTATCTTAATGAGAAGTCGAATCTATTCACAAATATTTCGTAATCAACAAGAAACAGATTTAAACTTTATTTACCCGGATTTACTATTGAAAACAATTCAGCAAACACGCTAAAAAATTTAAATAAATGAGTAATATCTTGAACAATATTAAATGAATTAAATAAAAAATTATTAATATTTGAAAAAAAAAGAAGCGATACTCATTTTTTTTCTAATATTTACTATAGAAATTCTTTAGATCAACAAAACATATTGTAAATATATCTATTAAATACATAATATTTATTTTAGGATGTAGAATGTGTTTGTGATTGTCGTTGAAAAATAGATTCACATCCATATCCAACGATTAACTAAAAATGTGACACACCGTTGATTCGATTCAACATTTATATTATCTACTACGCTTGCATTCGAATCTGATATAGTCATATTAAGAAAATATCTAAGCAAATTAATCAATCAATCAAATTGATAATAATGTTATATTGAACTATAGTCTCAAATAAAACCTCTCTGAAAATACGAAGAAGATACAAGAGATATAATTAGAAGGTGAAAAACAAAGATATATTAATTAGTCATAGTAGTATTCTTATTAAATAGATTGAAAGATAATCAGTATGCTTGAATTATTGATACACTCATTTTAGTATCATCGTAATAGGGATGTGCAGGATATAAACTTTTTTTCATACTTTGTATTCTATCCTACAGATTAGGGTAATCCTGCACATCTCGACATCATTTTTTGCGATTAGTCAAACATTAACAAATATATTTTTGTTTAAGTCAAGAATTGGCTCATGTTTAGATATTAATTGTACATACAATGAAAAGGCATGTTATTTTTAGAAGCAATCAATGTTAGAAATTCTTCTATTCACGAAAAGTATGCATATTTAAATGACTTTCTGTAATCGTATTTATCCTTTTGTACAGTATATTCTTTATGATGATAAAATCTATGGACTCGATAAAGTTAGAATTTTTGAAGAAAATGAATAGATCCCTTTAGTCATCTATACCGGATCGTGTGGCATACGTCACACTGATAGGTTATGTGTGCATACTAGTATGACAAATTAACATAGTGATTTAAAATCTAACCGATCAGTATAGATAAAGAAATTATTTATAACTAATTAATCTACTTATATTTTGTTCACAATAGTTCTCTTGAACATACTCATATCCTTTGTATTTTTCTTCTTCTTGTTCTTTTAGATTGTTTTTATTCCAAGCCATCTGTAACTTCTTTTGATATGTTAAGTTTGTTATGATAAAATAAAAGTGTCTATATTTTGATTTTATTTTTGTTCTTATGTTGTTGAAATGTTATATGTTTTCTTTACAAAATAAAACCAATACTTTTCTATTTCTATTTTTTTTATGTCTTTAATCGTTTAGTTTTATACATGTATGTACTTTTCCTTCTTTTCAAACTCGCTGGTTTTGCATTAAAGTTTATTATTTCAATAGATTCTATCCTTTTTTTTTCCACATGTAAATCTTTTGTTTGTTTTTCTGAGAACACAACGGTTAAAGTTCAATCAAGTCTCTAGTTCATTAATTTCAATGGTTATTATTTTTTCAATTTGCTTTGTATGAATTATCTTATTCAATATTCTGTATTGTCTAACCTGTGTAGTTTGTAAACGAGTAAAAAAACAAAAGCTCTTCTTCTTTATCGAATTTAAGCATTTTTTTCATATATCCATACATATTTTCGTTATTATTAAAAAGCACTTGAGTCGGAAAAATCAAATGTATCAATCTTTTAATTTTATTACAAGACAGTTGACTCAAAAATTAAGCCAATCGAAACATAGACCAATCAGAGTTTAGAATAAACACATCGTCACACTTGATGCACTGCATCAAAGTACATCGGCTAGTATGTACGATTATGTTAAATATTTAAAATGTAGACGATAAAAAAGTTGATTTGGTTTATGATGATCTATATAGAGAAAAGCTGAAAAAACCAAAGTATTTTACTTTAATTCTTTGATAGTGAGATCCATAAATTTATGTTTTATAAATTTAAATAGAAGACGAAGCTAAAATATGATAAAACAAATCTTTTCAATATTAAATCAAGCCTAAGTACAAGAATTATGATTGTCAATAATATTCAAAATATACCTTAATAACAATAAATTATTACTTTATTGTTTTTTTTTTGTCAAATAAATTCACTGTTAAAGTATTAATAATATCAGTATGATTTACAATAGTAAGTTTCAATTCAAATAATCGATAATAAGATCAATAATTAAGATATACAAAGTTTTCTTATTATTCAACTGTAAATTTTTCTATGTAAGAAAGGATTTTTATTTATTCTATGAATTGTAATTATTCGAGTAAAATTTTGAAAATTATAAAAGAAAACAATAAACTATAAATATTATTATTTCTATGATCAAAATAATCTAATTTATAGAATAATAAAATCAACTATTAATTTCCATGAAACTATTCAAACTTGTTAATCTGTAACGGCACTTTTCTCAATAATTAATGAACACATAAATAGTCAAAAGATATTTATTATATATTTAAAAAGCTTGATTAAAAAATGTACATATAAAAAATAAAGTTATTTGTTTCTAGTTTAAATATTACCATTCGCTGTCAAATTGCTATCTTATTACCAACCATAGAAACCATAACCACCAAAACCTGGATCAAATGCTGGTGCTGGATATACACTTGGTGGACCCCAATGAATAGAACTTGAGTAATGACCTGGACTTAGTACTCTTGCCGAATGAGCACCGTGCTTATGTCGTTCATACCAACCCAAGTAATTATCAAAACGAGCAGCTAAAAAAGGATTAATTATATATTCATATACATATCTATTTAACATAAAGAAAATTCATTACTTAAACCAGAGTCACCAAAGAAGCCGCTACCATAAGGAGCAAATCCTGCACCGTAAAAAGCCATATCGATTAATGTATTGTAGTTGAAGATTGAAATATGTAAATGTTTGTTATTATCTTTAGCTTCTCATGCAACATATATATATATGTATGCAACTATACGTAAATACGTCATGAATCAATCATGCATGAATACGCCTATAATACAATAAAAATATCAGCATATATCTATTCAAGGGTATTGAGTAATTTTAACTATTCAATTCATACTATATAGTATATAAATATCTATTGACGTTAATCGAAACCTAATTTATGGTGAAACAATGAGAAATAAAAAAAAACTTTCTATTTTTATAAGTGCAAATTTTTTTTATATCGCACTTTAACTCAAAAATACTCAATAATCTTTTATTTTACTATCAAATCTTTTCTTCATTTGTTCTCTTTTTTATTTAAAATGATATCCATATAGAATGAAAATAAGCTTTTCTTTTTTTTTTTTGTTAATGTTTGTTTATTATAATAAAAAGAAAATTTTTCAATTTTTTTTGTTTTTTTTACATTTATAATAATTATTTGAATAATTTTACGATTTCCTTGCTAAATATATCTCTAAAAGTATCATTTTATGTAATAGTAAAAAAATATTTAATTCAAAAAAATTAGTACCGTTATACTCTGAATGTTGACATAGTCTTTCAAATAAATAAGACAACATTGGCTACAATGAGAGTTTTTCGAAAATTTTAGGATGCACAATCAAAGAAAAAGGAAAACAAAAACATATCTCAGCCTATCTTTCCTTGCATTTATCTCCATTTTTATATTTTTCACAAGAATTGGTTTCTTTCAAGAGAAAGGAAGAGTTTAAAAGAATGTCTGCTAGTTATACAACATTTTTTTTTGTATAACAAAAAGACAAATCAGATATAAATTCATAAAATTTTGAAATAATTTCCGTAAGACATTTTTACGTTGTCGTACGCCTTTTTTTGTTTTTGTATTTGACTTTGTAAACGCATTTCAACAAGACTAATTTAGTTTCTTCAAATTTGTTTTTTTTACCGTAAGTCCTAAATCATAGAATGATGAAAAATTCATTTTTCAATAAATGTATCTTTATTTATCAAAAAAAAAATGTTTTTTTTTAGCCATTTTATTAATATTCCGAATTATTTTTTCACAAAACAATTAAAAAAAACAAAACAGTAAATCAATTTATTCAATATTTCATTGAAATTATCGTTGCATTAATCTTCGTTTAATATCTTCTAATTCATTTTGTAAACTTAATGCTACTTTTCTTATTTCATTATTTGTTCGTATTCCTGTTTCTTCAATAGCATCACGTATATCATCGGTTTTTCTTAATAAACGTGTATGTTCTTCTTCATTAAATAAACTATTATTACGTGTTATATCTTGATGATAATAATAACCTGTTTCAGCTTGTACTTCTTCAAATATTCCAATATTTGGTGGTGATGATGATATGGATGGATGAAATAAAATATGTTCACGTCTTCTTAATGGTGTTAATGGAGAAAAATATATTGAATGAATATTATGTGGAATATTTGTTACATATGAACGTATTTCAAGTTTACGTAAATGATATTTTAATGGAAAAAGATTTAATTGTTCCCAAAAATTCATTAAACGAACATTTCGAGCTAATTTTCTTATAATATTACCAATTGTTTCACAAAATCCACCTAAACGTGCTTGAAAACCTAATACAACACCAATACGTGCTCGTAAATGTTCTCGTTTAGCATTTAAACGATATTCTTTTACATCAGCTACTGCTAAACCACCCTAAACAAAAAAAAAAATATATATATATATATTTTTCTTATTAAAAACAAAAATTTTTTCATTTTTTACCATTATATTCATCATAACAATAAACATAGTGAATATATAAGCACTATAAAGTATAAG